TAGGAAACAGAATGCATATTCTGTTCCACTTATCTGGTATTATTATTTTTTATAGAAAAAATCTTCTCACATATGTATCAAAAAATCAAGCTTCAAATTTAAAAAGAAACATCAAAATTTATCTAGAAGACCCAATTGTTGTAGCACAACTCACTACCCTTGCTTTAATTGGAAAATCAATTACTGGACCTTGGATGACCAAATTTTATTCAAATCAATCAAATTTAGGACTAGTTCCTGTTATTCAAGGCTGCCAGTCTGAATTTGAACGTTTTGTTTCAAGCCCTTTAGAAATTCTTACTCTAAAATCAAATATTTTTGGTGAGCCCATTAATCAAGAAATTGATCCTGTATTAAAATCACTTATAAGCAATTTAGACCCTGAAACAACAGAATTAATTAAAAACATGATTCCAATTGCAGTGCAGAGTATTTATTTAGTTTATAAGAGGCAGTTACAATTATATTAAAGGAAATTTATCAAACCCTAGTAGCGAAATGATGGAACAAGCCTCATCAGCACCAGCACATAACATGGCCTCTTAAAGAGCTCTAGGTTTGACAGATTACCTGTAGAGACGAACACCAAATTCCACATTTATGTTTATTTCTGGAAAAGTTAAGAGCAGGTTGAATGACACCATGTCATGGCTGTTAAAAAAAACCAGAGGATGAGCTTAAAAAGACCATCAACTTTTCCATGAAAGAAGCTTACAAATTAAGAAAATTGAATCATCTAAAAATGAAGGCCAATGAGAAAGAAGCTTTGGAGAGACAAGTGGAAACAAAAAAGCTGTTTGATAAGAAAAATAGAAAAAATGATAAACAAATTAAGAAAGCTTTGAAAACTAATGATTTTTCCTAGGAAGTTTTTAAAAGAAGTTCTCCTGAAATTGTCAATCAGTTCAATTTGATAACTGCAAAAACTTCTGAGCTGCTGACATTTTTAATTTGCCAACAAATTAATCATTTATGGGATGTTGAAGGAAAAGATGTCATGTATAATGGTAGAATTGTTGATGTATATTTCAAAAGGCAGAAGAATCCTGAGAAATATCTGACAGTGTCCTTCTAGAAGCCAGATGAAGTAGAAGATGAATCTGTTGATTACAACATCATTTTGACAGATTTTTTAACTGATCTAATTTTACATGATCTAATGTTAATTTAAACATTTATATCACAAGCTTTCTGTAAATATTTGTATTCTTATAAATTTTTTTATTTTTATAATTGGAACATTGATGACTTCAGTTATAAAGTTGTAAATTGTGTAAATATAACTTTGATGTGAACAATTAGATATTGAGTTCTTCGACTGAGTATTCTTTAAATGTCTGGGTAAGAAGTACATTCCACAAAATAATGTCCTGTGAATGAAAACAAAATCAAACCAATCATGAATGGAAACCCAATCAATTACTAAAATGGAAAACATTGTGATGATGATTATAAAAAAAATCTTGATTTGCTTGTCAAAACAATTGATTTATTGTTTATTTCAGATTGTTATTTATATGATCACAGGCAGGGTATTATTATTAAAGTAGCAGATCTAGTTTTCTCCGGCCGGAGGAGTTTCACTGTTGTGGGTAACGATACAAATAAAATTGATGCAACTCCTGCGTGTTGATCATAAAAGTATCAATTTATCTTTGGTGCATGCATCTTCTTTGCTAAGTAGTTTATGTTCTACTAGGAGTTAAAAAAATAAATAAGTTATATTTTGAAATAAGATAAGGCTAATGCAGTTTTAAAAAAATGCATTTCTGCAGTTGAAGTAAGTATTCTGTGCATGCAGTTCAAATTCGGTTGAGTTTAACTGATTCTACTAACCTTTTTTCATATTTGGATATTTAAAATACAAATATTTAGAATGAAAAACCTTTATCTATTATATGTATATCAAACATTGCTCTAAAAATAATACATATAAATTAATGTAAAAGAATGTTTTTTAATGTAGGGGTAGATATTTCATCAAAAGTATACTCTTTTTTTTTTTCTTAAGTTTTACTATGAATATACCTTCCCTATAATATTGTAGACAAACTCTGCAAATATGAACAAAATCCAACTGAAATTAACCAAACTATACTCATTTATAGATACCCTATGATACTTGTCACAAATGGCCAATGTTATAAAGAGGGACTTTTACCCCCCACAAAAAAATTCATAAAAAAAAACTATTTGGGATAGAAAAATTTTTTTTTCTGTTTTGTTTTCTCCTGATTGAGATCTACAAGAACATATATTTTTTATTTTAATATAATGAAATTTGTGTTTATACCTAAATCCCTAATAATAGCTAGCCCACTAGTAATGAAATCTAGATAGGCCTAAAAAATAACATTCAACACTTGTATTAAAGGTTTACTATATGCTTGTTTATTTTAAAACAAAACAAAAATAATTTAAATAAATAAGCATGAAAAAAAACCACGAAAAAAAAGGTGTCTCGCTATTTCCCCATGACTCCGTAAGTATGTCTCGCAATTTACAGCCTTGCCATTTCGCTTTTCGCAATTTCCCAACACCCCAATAATGCCATTTTATTACAATCTTGTTTGGTTAAAACGAGGCGCAGGAAAATGGGTGCCATCATTTGGCTAGATTTTTACTGTTTTTATGTCACACTTAAAAATAGAATATTCATTGATTAGGCAGTTCGATTCAACGCTTCCGGGTTTGTCATTTTTGTGGCATCTCATGGCTCATGCGTTTACTAAATGGCGACCAGTTTCGCTTTCACTAAACGGTAGAGGGATAAAACTATTGATTATGATGCCATGGTTAATTTTAGAAAACGGAAATATCCATTTCTATTTCAGTCTGTTATTTAAGAATTCCCAGATGTACTTTTGACCTAATTTCTTTGTTTGTCTCGCAAACGCGCGTAAGTGAAAATAGCTCTATGTATTCTTGTCTTTTAAATCAAATAACTCTGAAATATCGCTTGTCCTTGTAAACCACCTTATATTCCTCATAAACTTTAAAGTATTAATTTAACACATATTACAGTTAACTGATAATAATGCGATTTTATTATGATCTTTTTTGGTGAACACGAGGCGTGGGAAAATGTGTGCCGCGCAAAAATCCAATCATTTGGCTAGATTTATGACTGTTTTTTATGTCACACCTAAAAATAGAATGCTTACGCTTTCTTCATTGATGATCGTTTTTATTATTTTTTTTAAACTGAAAGTATGAATTATTAGTTTCAGTTTAAAAAAAATAATAAAAACGAAAAAGTATGTATTATTAGTTAGATTTCAGGTTTTGTAACTTGGTATACTTACCCTTTATCAATTTTAAAAGCATAGCATGCTGATTGTGAACAAATAGTCATAAAACACAGAAATAAAAAGTTACAAATTACAACAATGCAATGCGCCACACCTGGGTCACACCCCCTCAAGAAAACACATGTTTATTAAGCTGTTTTTCGCACTTTACAACAGTAATTAAAATTTATTTTAAAATTTTAATTACTTATTTGGGTAAGATTAAGCACATTTTTACTACTAATAAAAAAACAAACAAATGTAAATTCCGTTTTCAATGAAGGTCACAGGTCAAATATTTTTTCCTTCAATCAAGTTCTAAGGGTCGGCGTGGTCGAGTCGGTAAACTCGGTTGAGCTCATGGTTGCTAAACCAAAATGTCTCGAGTGCGAACCCTCGTGCAGATGAGGCACATTTTCTGGGTCAGCCACTCTTCTCGTAAGTTCTAGGAGAGACAACTCCAAAATAAAACAACTGCTGCCTTGTAGTTTGTTCTTGGTTGCACAAAGGCTATGGAAGCAAATCCAAAAAGAAAAGCTGGCTGAAATCAGAGTCAATGGCCTCAATGGCGCATAACCAGTTGACACGTATCCTTAATTGTGATGGAGGTGTGGTCGAGTCGGCAAAAGCTCATGGTTGATAAATTCGAAAAAAGTCTCTAGTTCAAACCCTCTGGCAGATAAGGCTCGATCCCTTCCAACACTAAAAATTAAGAACGAAGAAGAAGAAGAATCCAGTTCAGTAGGCTGACCTGACTTTGGAATTTTTTCAGTAGTTATGACTTTGCACAGAAAGTTAAAATATGCTAAATTGGCTTAGTTTATTAGTGTGCTAGTTATTATTGATACATATTGTATAAAAAAAATCATTATGAAATTTTCATCAAAATGCCTAATGCCTGAATTATGTTCCAAGTATGTAAAAAATTATTTGTGCTGATTTTCTCTCATCATATAATGGTGAGACAACACCAAAATCAAACAACTGTTGCCTCGTAGTTTGTTCTTGGTTGGACAAAGGCTATGGAAGCAAATCCAAAAAGATAAGCAGGCTGAAATTGGAGTCATCAGCCTCAATGGCGCATAACCTTATACTTAATTGTGGTGGAGGGGATCCCTTCCAACACTAAAATGAAGAAGAAGAGAAGAAGATCTAAGTCTGAAGGTTTTTGAGAAATCAAAAATATAAAGTAACCCTTCTGGTTTCTGGGAATCGTTCAAAAGTTGAAAGAAATCCTACATATTCTACTGAATTTAATACAGATATATGAAGTTGCATCCACCTTACTGAAATGGCAGCACTTCTTGATATTTGTGGTCACTCAAAATTTGAAAGTAATCTAAGATCTTTTACTTATTTCATCTATATAAATAGGCCTTACAACTAATACAAACCTATCAGTCTATGCATTGACAGAGCTAGCTTAATCATAGTTTACTTTAGCTTAAAACTTAAAGCTATGACACATATTTTCAAATTTTGACTCGTTTAATGGACTGTCTATTGTTTTTTTAAATAAACAAAAATACAAATCACATATGTGCCCCTGATTTGCATCAATTATGATCAATAAATTTGTATTGTGTCCAACTGGTAACAACAGAAAGTTCTTCTGACTCCAATATCAATTGTGCTGTTAACTGAATGGCCATTAAATGGTTTTTGAGTGAAGTAGGATTGTAATTATTAAATGTATCTTTTTTTATTTAGCTGTAACTCCAAGTAACAGCACCTATTATTATGGAAATAAAACTGCTACATTCGGCTGTTCATTTAATACAACAGTATACAAATTTGTAGCAGTTTATTTTGAAGATGAAGATATGGAAAATGGCACTGATCTAGACTACTTTCCAAATGGAACTATAGCATTGACAGATACAAGTAAGTGATATTTATATATGTAATAACGATACTCATGTTTGTAATGCAACTAAGCTTATAAATTAATGCTTGCTGTAGGTTAAAATGTTTTCTTTTACGATTTAAATTGACTGATAGTAAAATATTTCATGTTTTTTATATTTAAATTGCTAGCTTGAGTTTTTTAACATAAGGTTTCTTTTTTTTTCCAGTAATGTTTTTAGCAAATCTCAAAACATCTTACATTTGGGAAATACACTTCTATTAGTATCTTAGTGGACTGAATTTATTTTTTTGGTCTATATTAATAGAAATTACATTAGGTACTTGGATTGTTGCAGTTTCAGTGTTTTTTAAAAATTAAAACAATTTTAATATTTTTAGCCTATATTATACATAATTTCTACATATTTTTATTTCATTTAAATTAAGTGTAATTGAGGATGTATGAAGTTTTATAAGGTGCGGTTTATTTTTAGAAAGTATGTTTATCAGATTTTAATTAGAAGATGTATAGTATTGTTAACCTTTTGAATGGTTAATCTTTTGGTGTTGTTAGACCGTGCCGATGCTGGATTATACCACTTACAGCTCAATTCTTTATCAGATTCTTGTAACTGTTCAGTGTCCTACTATGGTAAGTCTTGTATTTGAGATCATTTATTTTAATAATAATATTTATTATTTTAATACCCTGTCAAGTTTTGGTTTAGAATTTAGTCTTTAAATTGTTTAAAATGCTATTTCATTGTATTTAGAATGCCAATGCTATGTCATACCATTAAGAATACCTGCCTATGATTCATTGTAGCAGATATTATCTGTTACGTCCAGCAGTTAAACAAAATATTTTATCGCCACACAGGTGATCCTTTGGTCCTGGATTTTGTGAAGTCTGTGAACTATGAGGTGGATGAGAACTTGGATATTACCTGTGATGTCAAAGGTTACCCAATTGATAGCGTAACCTGGAAAAAAGATGGTGTAATTCTAGATAAATCAGTTGCTCCCAGGGTTGTGCTAAAAGATGTTAAAGACCATCCCAATGCTCGACTTGTCATCGAGGGCGTTAAATACTCAGGTACAGACAACTAAGTCTTTAAAAACAGTAATGTGTATAGCAGACATGCCTACCATCCGGTCAAAAGCGGATCAATTCCGCTTTTTTACAAAAGCGTGTCCTGTTCCGCCATCCCGTTTTTGACGAAGTTAAGCTTTTTTTTTTTTTTCATTTTTAAAAAAAAATAATTCATAAAGAAAGTAATAAATCGAAATGGAAAAAGCGACTCCCTTTGGCACACGTTTCATATCCTAGTTAACTTACAATATTTTCAAGTGCCTTCAGCATTTATTGTTCATATAGCCTAGAACATAGCAAGACAGGAAATCAAATCAATAATGTTAGGTCAAAGCTAAGTTTTTATGGGGGGGGGGGGGGGGGGGGGGAGGATTTCAGGTTATTGGTTAACTTTTGTCTTTGAAATGTAAGCTGACATTAAGCAGCATTTAAATTTAGCCTAGAGACTAGTTAGATATAACTAGAAGCCTACTAATGTCATTAGACTCATTTTTAATTCTTTATTTTTGACTTTGTAAAGTAGCGTCCGCATGTATGTTCCTCTTTTTGGCTTCATATTCCTCTTTTAGGCTTGACTGTTCCTACTTTTGGCTGACATGGGTAGGCATGTCTGGGAAATCTATATACTACTAAAATTGATCAAAGTTTGCAAATTAAAATAATTTCTCATTTATTACTTTATTTGTCTAATCAAAAAATCTGTTGAAAAAATTACTCTGTTGAAAGTGAATGTATAAAGCAAATTTTATTTATAGATGGTAATAAAACTAAAAGACTTATTCAAATGTAAAAACACATTTAATTATGCCAACCAAGAACTATGACTGAATTTTTTTAACAAGCAGGAAGTGATTTGCTTTAATGCTATAAGAGCATCCAATCTACACAAGACAGTAGTCTATTGAAAAGTTAAATGTGTTCTAATGCATTTTGTTATTATTAACATTCAAAGAATATCCTTAACAAACTTTCTGATTCAAGTGTTAAAAATATTATTTTTGTTAATTCTTTCTATGAAAGTTTTAACAAACTTTCCGATTCTAGTGTTAAAAATATTATTTTTGTTAATTCTTTCTATGAAAGTTTCATTTACCGGATAAGCGCTGGAATTTAAAGAAACTTACATAATTGTTGTGAGGCTATATAAAGTAAATAAGTTTTAAAAAAATGTAAATCTAGGTTCCAGCAATACTATCAATTTTCATTAAGATACACTTGGTGGATCTTTTAATTAGAGCATATAAGGAAATTATTTACTGACAAATTAGGACAACTGAGCTTTTTTGTCGGACAAAGTTACTTAGCAATAGAGTAAGTTAAATCAGGGTTTAATTAAAAATGTTATTAGGCTTAATTTTTCTTTATGGTCAGTAATAACCTCCCTTCAAAATTTTTGTAGACAGGCACATAAAGTAAAACAATATTGTGCTATTGACCCTGTCGGTTGAGGTTTTGGTACCCATACAGCCATGTAAATATTGTTTTTTAATCTTCCCACATAGATGGTCCACAGTGGGAAATTCCAACGCACCTCAAAGCATGAAAATCATTATTATTTCAACTATAGTGTTCATTTGCTATTCCTGTTAGGTTCCAGCTCTATCAATTTTTGATAGAACGTTTGATAGATCTTCAGTTTTGAGAATGTGAAGAAATTTTATTCATTATGTTATTTACCTATGAGGGCTTGAACAAACCAGGAAACATTTTTTGGTCAGCAAAAAAAAAAAGAAAAGAAAAAAGAAAAAAAAATAAGTTGTAAAAAATGACATATACCAATAAATAATTAGTATTTAAACTTAAATATTTAAGGAAATAAATCAGTTTGGCCATTTTATATGGTGTTTTGTTGGAAAAAAATGTATTTATTTTATTTATTATTATTTTTTTGTTACTCGATATGTGGAAATTACCACTAACCCAATCTCAGCTTCTCTCCCCCCTCCCCACCCTTGCTTGGATGTCATTGATATATGGATGTCACAAGGGGGCTGGGCAGGAGTTTGGGTCTTAAAGAGGGATTTATTTCAAGTGAAGAGGCTTTGTAGATGTGGGGTGGGTGTATAAATCTATCCTTTGTTGACTTCAGCTTATCCTGCTCTACAATATTTTATGATTGGTAGAGTGACTAGACAGAGTTTGCATATAATTAAAGTATTTGTTTGTTAAAGATTTTTTTTTACCTTTCATTGCACAAAGACTTGATAATTGTTTGATAATTATTGCTTTTAGATATTTCATCTGATAAATATCAGTAGCTAGTTTTAAGCTTATTTCCTTCAATTTTCACTAGGTTTCATTGATTTTTTTCTATGTGTTACATACACATGGTTGATATCAAATGATTTACACCCCTTGATTGATTTATATCATATTGCTTGTTGTTAATTAGATGAAGGGGAATACAGCTGTACTGCCCACTCCCTATATTCAAACACCTCCTCAACAAAATCTCTCATGGTCAGGATTAAAAGTAAGTGAAGCTTTAGTTCACCTTTTAGTTTGTTAGTGTACTTATTATAATTTGTGGTGATATATTGTAACTGTACAACTTTTTATCCTAATTCAACAGGGACCTATTACTTTCAAAATCTCCATAAGTGTATTCTGATGATAATAGTTGGTTGTCCTAATTGAAATTAACTATTGACTGTAGACAACAGTAGTGAGTTTCCCTGATAGAACTTTAAGCTTTATGACACAAATTTTATAAAAATGTATCAATAAATAAAGAAGTTATGCCTTTTTTTTAAAAGCAGAAATTCGTTTTAAAAAGTGGCATTTTTGAGAACCATTACTTTCGAAACCAAAATAACTTGTGCAGAAGTTGGTAAAGGTGCTTTCTGTCATCGCTAATGAATCTTTCTATAGAAAAAATAATAATTGAAAGTTTCATAAATGCATTTTGGTCATTTTTATTTTCAATGCAAAAAAAAAAAGAAAAGAAAAATGACAATTAAAAAATCTCAAAAAATGTGTTTTTGTCATAGAATAACAATTCTAATGTCACACTGAAGATACATTTAAGCAGATCAATATGCTTTCTGTTTTTATAGCACCAAGAAATATTTACAGGTTATAAAACAAACACAAAGTTCCCACCACACATTTTAGAAAAAGATTAAAAGATGCATGATTTAAACATGAAAACTTTCATATAACTATATAAAAATAAATTGAAATCATGTTCGACATGTCCATTTGTTCCCAAAAAAGAAATAAGCAGGAGCGTGATGCATGGCTACAGCCAATAATAAATAGTTGACATATTAGCATTGAATGTTAGAAAATATTCATAACAAAAAAGATCTATTAGACAACACTTTTCTTACGAAACATTAATAATTGTCCCCTAACTGTTATAAAAAAAAATTGAAACTGTGGTGCACATAAAAGCTTGTTATTTTTAAGGTTCTATCTTTAATTTCAGTTTTTCAAACCGTTATTTGTATTTTAAATTTTTTTATGTAATTGGAAAATCATTGCATCTCATTAGCATTGCAGTAGATGTATTAGTTCTTATTCTTTGTAGTTTTTGCTTAAAAATCAATTTTGCTATGATTTTTAATGTACTTATATTTAATTGTGGTATTTTATTTTTCTTATTTTATTTTGTTACCATAAAAATTGAATGAGTTTACTCTTTTAGCTTGTTTTTTGACCTCGTCTTTTCTAAGTCCAAACTATCCTAACTTGATTGGCTGTCCACAGACCCCATAGCCTGGGTGTGGCCACTGGTGGGGATACTGGTAGAGATCATCCTGCTGGCTGCCATGATCATCATCTGTACTAAAATAGACAAGAAGCGCAAACTACAGAGTGAGCAAGGGAAAGACAAGTGAGACACGTTCTGAGATGTCACATGTTTGTTTTATATTTGTTGTTAATGTCCCTAAGTTGTGTTGGTAATGTCCCCAAGTTGTGTTGGTAATGTTTCCAAGTTGTGTTGGTAATGTCCCCAAGTTGTGTTGGTAATGTCCCCAAGTTGTGTTGGTAATGTCCCCAAGTTGTGTTGGTAATGTCCCTAAGTTGTGTTGGTAATGTCCCCAAGTTGTGTTGGTAATGTCCCCATGTTGTGTTGGTAATGTCCCCAAGTTGTGTTGGTAATGTCCCCAAGTTGTGTTGGTAATGTCCCCAAGTTGTGTTGGTAATGTCCCTAAGTTGTGTTGGTAATGTCCCCAAGTTGTGTTGGTAATGTCCCCATGTTGTGTTGGTAATGTCCCCAAGTTGTGTTGGTAATGTCCCCAAGTTGTGTTGGTAATGTCCCCAAGTTGTGTTGGTAATGTCCCCAAGTTGTGTTGGTAATGTCCCCAAGTTGTGTTGGTAATGTCCCCAAGTTGTGTTGGTAATGTCCCCAAGTTGTGTTGGTAATGTCCCCATGTTGTGTTGGTAATGTCCCCAAGTTGTGTTGGTAATGTCCCCATGTTGTGTTGGTAATGTCCCCAAGTTGTGTTGGTAATGTCCCCATGTTGTGTTGGTAATGTCCCCAAGTTGTGTTGGTAATGTCCCCAAGTTGTGTTGGTAATGTCCCCAAGTTGTGTTGGTAATGTCCCCAAGTTGTGTTTGTTGGTAATGTCCCCAAGATGTGTTTGTATTGTCCCCAAGATGTGTTGGTAATGTCCCCATGTTGTGTTGGTAATGTCCCCAAATTGTGTTGGTAATGTCCCCAAGTTGTGTTTGTTGGTAATGTCCCCAAGTTGTGTTGGTAATGTCTCCAAGTTGTGTTGGTAATGTCCCCAAGTTGTGTTGGTAATGTCCCCAAGTTGTGTTGGTAATGTCCCCAAGTTGTGTTGGTAATGTCCCCAAGTTGTGTTGGTAATGTCCCCAAGTTGTGTTTGTTGGTAATGTCCCCAAGTTGTGTTGGTAATGTCCCCAAGTTGTGTTGGTAATGTCTCCATGGTGCATTTGTAATGTCCCCAAGTTGAGTTTGTAATGTCCCCAAGTTGAGTTGGTAATGTCCCCAAGTTGTGTTGGTAATGTCCCCAAGTTGTGTTGGTAATGTCCCCAAGTTGTGTTGGTAATGTCCCCAAGTTGTGTTTGTATTGTCCCCATGTTGTGTTGGTAATGTCCCCAAGTTGTGTTGGTAATGTCCCCAAGTTGTGTTGGTAATGTCCCCAAGTTGTGTTGGTAATGTCCCCAAGTTGTGTTGGTAATGTCCCCAAGTTGTGTTGGTAATGTCTCCAAGTTGTGTTGGTAATGTCCCCAAGTTGTGTTGGTAATGTCCCCAAGTTGTGTTGGTAATGTCTCCAAGTTGTGTTTGTAATGTTCCCATGTTGTTTTAATCTCTCCTAAGTGTATTAGAAATATTACTTTTACAAATATGTGAGAATGTTTTATTTAATTCAGAGTGATTTTTGAGTAATATTACACCCTTGCCCATTATCCTTTTGTAGGTAGTATTTCTTAGTTAGCTTGTATTTTATTATTTTACTCCTATTATAATCTGTAACTTTGTTAATGACAGCTGAGGACACTGTTGGAGGAATCTTCACTTTGACCAGAAACTTGAGATGAGTCTTCATGCAACCAGATTACAAATTTTCTGCACATTTTCATCGGCTAGTTTACAGGTAGACTAGATATAAGTTTAGTTTACTTTAGTGTGTAAACTAGTTGTATGTGTTCCATCCTTTTTTATACTGAACAAAAACCAATGAATTTGTATACCATCTTTTTTTTTAATGATTTCTTCACTAAACCAGTTGTTTTTAATTCTATCTTGAAACACTTGAATGGAACAATGTATTTGAGCATCTTATTTTATTAAGAAAAAAGCTTTAGCATACTTATAATTTACACTTAGTGCTGTATTATTGTTCTTTTAGCAGGTGCTTTGAATTAGGTTGTTTTAGCTAGAATTTATGAACTATGTGCAACCAAGCTTTTTTTAAATAGCTTTTTAAGCTTGTTTTCAAAAGAGATTGCTTTTGTTTTATGTTAAAGAACATTGAAATAATCCCTAGAAATTCAAATATGAAGGTACTTTTATTATAAGGGCTTGTGTTGGCAACAGAATTAGTCTGTAGTTGTATGAAAAAGGCCAAGTACACGGTCTAAAAATACTTCATGTAGAAAGGTATTTTGTGTTGCTTTAATGTATATTTCTTTTATTTGACTCTACATTTCATCGCTCACTTTTAATAGATACATTATCAGCAGGATATATAATGAGAAATAATTAATTGCTAATTCATTTATAGAATTTTTTTTTTTTTATAAATGGCATGGTCAAAAGTGCCAAAATATTCTGGCTTTAATATTCCTATTACTTATTCAGTGTTAAAAAAAAACAAATTTAAAGAGAAAAAACCAACCTGTCATTTCATTTGGGCTTTATTTCTGAATTCACACTTGATAAAGATTAGAATCTAACTTTAGTGTGATAATTTTAAAAGACAATTTAGTTGAGAGTTTAAGAATTAATTTATTGTTTAAAATAATGATTTTAGTCTGCCTTTTTTTAATGAACATAGGTCTTAAAAATACTTTTAATTCTAATAACAATACAATGATAAAAAAAACTTTCCTGATGTCCCTCCTTATTTTTTTATTGATCTCAGCGACTTGATATTAAGACTTATATTTTTATCAACTAAATTCACCCACTCACTCAGTTTAAATAAAGACTGACATATATTTATTTTTATATCTGGGTTAATTTTTTTTTTATCAAACAGGGAATGATCACAAACTTTTTTTTTACTGTGTCACTTCTAGGCAATGTTAGTTCATGATTTAACTTATAGTAACATAATAATACAAATTGTCCATTTGACTGGGGGGGGGGGGGGGGTTTGTGTGTGTGCTGGCACCTACTTTTTTAATGTGTAGTGAGTACCACTGTTTGTTTAGTTGGCTGTATAATTATTCCCCCACACCCCGCTCTCCTGTATTCCATACACTTTTAACATCATCCAGCAAGCTTGCTATTTCTACACATCTTGAACTTAACAATGATGCTATATTTTTTAGCTTTCAATTTCTTTTTTAATTTTTTTAATTTTTTTACTATTTGAACTTAATGCTTGATCCTGGCAAAGTATAGAAAGTATTAAAAGGTTAAAGGTAAAGAGAATCATGAATTTGTGTTTAATAATTTTTTAATTAAAACCATCTAAAATAACATAATTTTAAGCAAGATTTTTTTTTCAGTGATTAAAATTATTCGTAAAAAAAATAATGTATGTAAAAAAAGTGATATTTAACATTTGACTGTAAGGTTGATTATTCCAAAGTTATTGTAATAGAAACTCATTTATTGTGCAATTACATGTATAAAAGCATGTGTTTTTTTTTACTAAAAATATTTTACACATTTGCATAATAGTCTTTCTTGAGATTGAGCAAAAGCGTTTTATAATTAATTTAACTTTGCCCATACCATGTTTAACAAATGAGTCACCTTTAAAGATGTATTTTTTAAAGTTTTTACTTACCACATTTGTGTCCACCTATATCTAGTCATTTTTTTGAAAGTTTATATTTCTATTGTATCCTAACCTAGTTTTGGTTCTGGTCACACTATTACTCACTACATGTGATACAAACTAAAAATATAAAATTGTTTAAGATGTTTTATTCAAGAAGTATATTATGGTATTTATTTTTACAGTGCAATATATTCTTGTTTCAGGGTGTTTTCAAAGAAATAGAATCTGATTCTGATATACATATATATTTATTTATTTATATCATTATTTTTTTATGCTACATTTAGAAACTAGTTTTGTGGTTAATTCTTTAAAAGCTGATTAATATGAAGCAAGTTAAAAGTTCCTTATATTATTTGACTCTATGTTAAAACATTTTTTTTTCATTTTATAACTATCTGACAATTTGACTATTTTCTTTGCTGTAAGCATCCAAAGTACCTTACCCTGATTGAGTCCTTATCACAAGCATCTACTAGCTGATATTGGTCAGGGAAAGCAAAAAATTAATGAAATGTCACAGTTTGCTTCTGGAAACTGATGAAATGAGGCTAATATTTAATAAACTACGATCTATGCTGTAAAAAAGGCTGAAATTGCGTAAACATCTTTAAAAGGCTTACAAGTAAAATTAATAATTTCTTGAAATAACAATATCATGAAAGAAATATCAGTGAAGCCTTGTCTTTATTTTTTAATATACTGAAATCAAACTGTTTGTTCATCTGGATTTTTACAAACATCCTAATATATATAATTTATTTTGTAAACTGGCATGAATATGATTTACAACAAAACCACTTTGCTTGTTGTTTCTCCTGTGTTAGAGATAGTGTCCCATCTAGTCATTAGCTACAGGTAGTCTATAGTTTTCCATGTTTTTCTCTCTCTTGGTATTTTATGCAATATTTTGTCCAGACCTCTGTGATCCTGATGTCCCACAAACTTGTATTCAGACTCCACATTGCCATTTTATTATTACAGCATGTCTCAGCTTTTTTGTGCTCCACAGTTATGCTTGCTTTATGAATATATTTTTTTTATACTTGTAACTGTTTTTTTAAAACATTGTAATATGATCATTAGTATTTTGAAAAATGGACATTTTTTTTTGTGTGTAGAGGTTATTTTGGTGGAACTAAAATATTTTAAGAAAGTACTTTATTCGTTAATTGTATATTGTTTTTGGTTTCATGCTACTATTTATAATGGTGTTTGAAATAGCATTTTTATTTTTACAATTTGGATGCAATAATTCAAACTGTACAGCCACCCTGTTTTAGTCTTATTTTCAAAAACCTGTTTTTTAATAACTTTTGATCTGATGCTAAACATTAATCTTAAGTTGATACAAATTTTAACATCTCGACCAAAATGTGTAACTCGTAACATTTTGTGTAGTAATTTGAATGCAAATATTTCTGGTTAAAAGTTTGTATTGAAAGCACATGTGGTATTGTTTTTTTATATTTTTTTTTGGTAAAAAATAAAATTTGTGATGTAATGTAATCAAAATAATAAAAAATCAAACTGCACAACACTAGCTCTTCAACAAAAGAAAGAACCGGTTATTCAATTTTGAAGTATACGTTGCGTAAAATAAACTAACACTAGTTTTTTTGTTGGAATAATAATTGTTTTACATTGAAAATTTTTAATATGTTAAAACCAAAAGTTAATGAAGAAAAAAAAGTTGATGTTAAAAGGTATTATTTGCTGATAGCATCTGTGATGAAATTGTATGTCACTTCCAAAAAAAATGGCTGATATTTATATAGATGAACTTTGTTTTAATATAGCTGTTTGACTTAAATTCTTACTGTAGTTATATTTGTATAGGTAAAAAATATAATATATACTCTTGCAGTGGTTTTTTTTTAATATCTCCTAAATATAGTTACTTATTGTATGCACTAGAAGTGTTAATGTACACTAAATTTTATCTGGTTTAATAGCTTTTTTTAAAAAATGTCTTGAATAAATTACTTAAAAGTATTTCAATATTAACTTCTTGAAAAAATGAATTTTTGAATTTTGAGCAATTAACTTAATATGTATCTAATTTTTTTTTTAAATTATACATCTAAAATCTAATGTACCATTTTATAAATTTGTGATGTATACTTGGCTTTTAGACATTTCCTCCAAACCAAAAAATGTGTTATAATATAGCTCTATTTAAATTGTCCCCTTTTGTATAATTCCTCTACCTGTAATTCTATGTAGTAGAGAAATAGATATTTCAATGTAGATTTTGACAGGTATCTCAGTGTTAGAAATCAAAATGTATGATCAAGTAAGTTCTTTTAGTGGCATCACCAGCAGGGGTCACACTGGGTAGCCCCACCCAGAACTAAAAATATTTTAGAAGACAAATTAGTGAATGGAAAATTAAGACTTTTTAAAGTTAAGATTTAAAATTAGTATATATTTATATTACAAATTCCTGGCACTGATATTGTGTGAAATATTTATATTCTGCTTCCAGGCACTAAAAAAAATCAACTTGTGTGAACTATTTATAAAGTCTGCCTCCAGGTTCTGTAAACTCATTTAATGTGAAATATTTATAGTCTGCTTCCAGGCATTAAAAAAAAACAACTTGTGTGAAATATTTATAAAGTCTGCATGTCTTTTTTATCTTGATGTAGTTGTGAAATGTTTGTTCCACAATGATTGTTTTTTTCTAATTCATGTTTAGTGATACCTGTCCAATAAAATTTTAAATTTCTTTCTTGTATTATTGTTTTTTTTTCATCAGAGGCTTAATGCTGTAAAATTTAATACATGGCCCTAATGTATTACTATAGCGCCATAATTAATTACAACATTACAACAGGCCAAACTTAGGTTAAATCCGCCAATGCCCCAGTAAGTTTCAGTCTGGGAACAGGTTTAAGTGTCCAAACATTTTTTAGGACAAAAAAAAATATACATTCTTATTTGGTACAACAGTCGAATGCTAGGTGACTAAACATTTTTTTTTTGCTGAGAATCAACAAGTCATGACGGTGTAAGTCATAGGCAGTGTTTCTTTCAGACTTTTTTCTCTGGGGGGGGTGGTGGTGCTGACCCCCGAAAAGATGCCTTGACGCTGGTCATATGCCCCTCTATACTAGTCTATACTCTATGGTGTGTTTCAGAAAGTAAACTCCACAAACTGACACATAACCTCATATGTAGCACCACATATTCACACATTATCTCTTGTATCGTCTGGAACCTGGTCAGCAGGGCGTGGTTTGTGTTCCCCGTCCCCGGGAGAAAACATCTCATCACGTGCCAACTTTAATTTTTAATCTTCGTCTTCAGAGCCAATAGGGGTAATGCCATTATGTATTAGTTAATGCACAAGAGCAGAGCCACTATGTGTTGGAACAGTCTTAATGCACGAGAGCAAAACTAGTAGGCCTTTTTGTTTATTTGTACAGCGAGCGACCCTAATTATTTTTAGTACATCGCCATAATGTATTAGAACAGTGCCCTAATGTTTACTAGAGTTGTAGCCAGTAGCGTAGCTATGGGGGGGGGGGGGGGCGCCCAGGGCGCCGAATCTAAGGAGGGCGTCTAAAGGGTAAAAAATGTAAAAACTCATTTTAGTCAGAAATATTGATTATACACAAAGTGTGGTACCAAAGCAAAAACTAGTGACTGGTAAAAAACACTACCAACCTTTCAAACTGTAGGGGGGGGGGGAATGGCGCTTTTTCACTAACATGAATAAATATAATTTTAACGAGAGAGGGCACAAAATTGATTATTCCCCCCTGGCGCCGGAGTGGGTCGCTACGCCTCTGGCTGTACCATTATTTATTACAACTTACTACAGAGGTCTATTGCAATTCTCTATATAGTCCTAATGTATTACAACTTTCTACAAAGCACTCATGTTTTACAGCTAACTCCATATCCCTTATGTATTTTGTTTTTCTACATAACAATACTGTATTAACAACTTACTACAGAGCCATAATGTATTACAACAGTTCCCTATTTAACAGCACCATAATGTGTTACAAAGTGCGCTAAATTGTAGTACTAGAGTTCCCTGATGTATTCTAGCAGCGCCCTAATTTATTATACGAGTTCCCAAATATACTGTAACAATGCCCTACTTTATTACAGCAGTACCCTTATTCGTTACAGCAGCACCCTAATGTATTACAACAAGGGCTATAATGCAGTACACCTATCAGTGGCGTAGCCAGGATCGTCTCAAGGGGGGGAGTTCCAATTTTTACCCGGGGACAAACTTTCGATTTGCACCCCCCCCCCTCAAACTTTCGATTTCCACCCCCCCCCCCCTCATACTTTATATATATATATACCTAGGGGTCTATGGGGAGGGGGGGTTATGACCCCCCCGCCTAACCCCCCCTGCCTACGCCACTGACACCTATTCCCTAATATTTCATCACAGCGCCCTAATGTATTACTACAATTCCATAATACATTGTAACAGGGCCCCTACGTTATTACAGCAGTACCATTATTCGTTACAACAGCGGCCTAATCTATTGATTCACCTCCCTTGTCAACCCCCGATGGTTATGTTGGCCAGACATCTGGCATGGAAATGTATTCACGAGTAACTTCATTAGAGCCAGCCTGTGTGGTGACTTGACCTCCCCGTCTAACACACAAACCCTCAAGGCGGATTTCGCTGAATTGAAGAGTTGGTTTTGGTATTGAGAACTCACAATTAATCAATGGTGAAGGGGGGCGGTATATATATATGCATATATATATATATATATATATATATATATATATATATATATATATATATATATATATATATATGTATATATATATATATATATATATATATATATATATATATATATATATATATATATATATATATATATATATATATATATATATATATAAACTACCCCTATCGGCTAGGCCCTGCACTGGCATTGAAATAATTTTATCTGTAAAAGGTCTTGACTTGTGTGTTTATTAAGCAGCCTATAGGCCTGCGCTATAGACCGGAATTTGGAAATATACGCGATTTTCAAACAAAGTTCTATATGTCAATATGGACGTTTGAGAAAATATAAACACAATTGCAAACTTAAACGGAGACCTAAACACAAACAGAAATACACACATAAACATAAACGCAAACATAAACACAAACATAAACTCAAACATAAGCATAACACAAACATAAACGAAAACATAAACATAAACGCACACTTAAACGGAAAAAAAACAAGAATAAACATAAATGCAAACATAAACGCAAACAATAACGCAAAAATAACGCAAACAGAAACAGAAACTTAAACGCAAACATAGACGCAAACATTAACGCAAACTTAAACATAAACGAAAACAGAATGAGGACATTTAGGAACGGCTTCTAAACTTTTATTGATCAATACAATAATTAGTAAACAGTACATTTCGAGTGGATGATAAAATTTTTGTTCTAGCACAAAATCAAACTTAAAGGAAGTAACTGTTTCTGATGTAATGCAGAGGCGCAACGGGGTGGGGGGGGGGGGGGGGGTTACATATGTCCCCGGTCGCCGACCTTAGGGGGGCGCCAAAATGGGTCGTAAAAACAAATTAAAATCTCATTTTAGCTGCAGTTTTACATAATAAATATAAAAAATTTATGGGGGGGGGGGTGCAAATTGAAAGGTTTGAGGGGAGGGAGGGGGGGAGTGCAAATTGAAAGTTTGAGGGGGTGCATATTGAAAACTGAAAGGTTGTTCCCGAGGGGGCGCCAAATTGAAAGTTTGTCCACGGGCGCCGAGAAGGGTCGCTGATGTAATGTTTATGTTGTGAGGCATTAATCCCGATCAAGGGAAGTAATTAGTGAAAATGAATGAGATTTGCATAAATTTTTTAGATAATATTAACATGTTTTAGAAGGATAATGATTTAATTTGATTTTGTTCTTTGCACTTTACGTCACTTAAACAAAAAGTTGAAAAATGTATTTTGAAGAGTTAATATTCAAATTTATAGACATTAATGTAGATTTTAGTTAAAAATTGAATACTTTAAAAATATAACACAATGGTGATCAAGTGGAATTTTTACTATGTAAAATGTCCATTGAAAAGATACATAAGATACATTTCCACTTACTATTGTAACAGATATATATATATATATATATATATATATATATATATATATATATATATATATATATATATATATATATATATATATATATATATATATATATATATATATATATATATATATGCCCCTAACGTAGATATCGTTTCTACAGCCTCATTGCACTGGAAGTGATCTCTTACTGTTGTATACGAACGTAAGAGAAAGTTTAGGGGAGCGCACTCAGGCTTTATTTTTAATTAAAAAAAAATATATAACAGTTGTTAGAAAAATACTTGTGTTAAGTCTCTACCTTAGTTACAACTTACAGGTGAAAGCTGAAAGCAAACACCTGTAAAAAAAATTGCAAACTGTAAACAAAATAACTGCGCAAATAGACGAGGCAACTAACCCTCGTGCTAATTAACTTAATCCATCTCCACGCCCCACATACACATCTAAGACTAAACCCACTAGTTTGTGTTAGGTTGTTTTATTTTTAAGTTGCAAGTGATCGTTTCAACTTGGGATTTGTTTAGCATTTTTAAGTGCAATTGATTTGCATTGCTGTTTCAAAATAACTTTGTTTTCTTGATATTTTTTTTTAATTGAAGGTCGTTGGGAAAATAAGTTCTTGATTATGAAACATCGTTTCTTAGTGACATCGCTACCCCACACCCTCCCCGAACGAAATAGAATTTATATAGAAGATATATACCGTAACCTGTTTCGTCGGTGACGTTGGATACCATGTATTTTATATTTGGTCAGTTATCGACTATAAAGTACGGCTTGGTCGGGCAGTAGAGCAATCGACTGCAAACCCAAAGGTCTCGAGTTTTAAACCCCGGGCTCAAGTCCGTATTACGTACATGGGTTAACTCCGCTTTGATGGACACCTGACTGGTTGTTAAAGAATTGCCGTTTAATGTTGTATAGAGTAAAAGTGTGTAAAAATGTCAAATATTTAGTTCGAGCCCGTTTGATAATACAGGGCTTCTCATTAAAAAAAAAAACCTGCCCATTTTCTAATGAAGATGTATGGTTGAAGCTTTTATTTTTCTTCTTCTTTGTTCTTAGCTTTATTTGTTGGATGGGATTTCCTCCAACACATTTAAGTATGAGATCTACGTGTCAACCTGGTATGCACTATATAGCCGTTGACTCCGATTTCAACCAGCTTTTCTATTAAGATTTGCTTCCACAGTATTTGTCCATCCAAGGACAAACTACTTTCCTTTCTGAGTTTATTTCTTGTTTTAGGTAACGTTTGTGTGTTTGACGGAGTGGTCTAGAGGTAGAGAGCTGGACAGCTAACCCGTAAGTCTCGGGTTCAATCAGTAGACCGTACCTAAGTCCACCCAACTCTTATGGGTACTTAACTCACGTTAGGGAAAGTAAAGGACGGCAGGGCATAGTGTTGACCACACTATCTCTTCATATGCCGAGGTCAAAGAAACAAGTGAACTCTACTTAACTAGACCGTCAGGTTTGAAAGGGAAACTTTACTTTTTTTTTAAACTGTTTTTGGGTTAGAAGACCTGTTTGTTTTATCCAATGTAAGCCTTTGGTTTAAAACCTATAAGCATTGAGTATCATGTGAAAATATTAGATCTGTTCCTTAAAATGATATCACGCTTAAATTACATTTATTTCTAGCCCTACATAAAACAAACGATGAGGCATCGCGCCGATAATCAATACCCCCAAACGAATCGATTACAATTTGAACGAGACCGGTCTAAAAATAACACAGTATTAATCACACCCATTCAGGAAGTGAGCGGCGTAAAAAAAAAACGCTTGAAAAAATCCATACCTTACTCACGAAACCCAAGGCATATTTTAGGTAAAAACCAATTAGACAGAACAGGATGGAGGCGGGAACCTCGGCTGCGCTAATCCAGGTACTTGGGCGTACAGCCTAGAGATCAGTGCGAATAATATGCTACACTTGTTAGCAGAGGCGTAGCGAGGGGGGGGGGGCGGGGGGGGGGAACATATGTACCCGGGCGCCGACCTTAGGGGGCGCCAAAATGGGTTAGAAAAACAAATTGAAAGTTTGAGGGGGGGGGGTGCAAATCAAAAGTTTGAGGGGGGTACAAATCAAAAGTTTGAGGGGGGGGGGGGGTGCAAATCGAAAGTTTGTCCCCGGGCGCCGGGAAGGGTCGCTACGCCTCTATGCCAACCTCCCAGTCCCTACCCTATCTGACATGGGCTTGTATTGTTGTAGATAGTATTTTAATTATTTCTTGTCTTTGTTACCTTCTTGTAAACAGCCTATTTATTCTATAGAATAAAAATTGGAGAGGCCATTCGTACAAATATAGCTCAAGATCAAATCGATAAACTAATTTCTTGAATCCCTAAGTCTATCACATCTAGTTCCTTTATTCAGCTTACTAATGTTCATTTTGCGGAAAACACAGACACGACAATTTGATCGCTACACATAGGTTTAAAGAAACAAAACTCATAAGACTCATTAGTAAACCAAATAGCTTCTTTATTATTTAGAATAGATGTTTATTTTGCTTTCTAAATAAAAAAGTTATTAGAAAAAATAAATTTGCAGTTTTATTTGACATCGCCACATATTTACAAATACTAATAATCTTCTGCATTTCATTTATGTATTAAATCCATAAAACATTTTTGGAAAAATAATTACATACATTTTTACCTTCGTAATTTAGGTTAAAAATGATAATAGAAAAATAGCGTTCAGTTGAATATTTATATCTTTAAAATTTATCACTTAATCTTTATGTTATACACTTTTTAAAAATTAAGGCTAACACAGAGTTAAAGCATTTCTCATTGTGAAAATTATCAAGTTTTTAAAATCACAATGACATTGAAATATAAATTGTTTACTATATAATATATGTACAATTATATTTATACATTTATATACACATGTACACATATATTAACTTAACTTGACCAGAAATCCTAAACATTTTATTTTAGTTCATAAATTTGTACAAGCCATCAATATTTAATAAATCAAAATACAAAAATAAATAATATATTTACATTATTTTTACAACAACATGAAAACTATTTTGTTTAAAAAATAGCAATTATTATTGTTCAATTATTCTCAATGACTCATGGAAATTGTTTTAGTTTTGTATTCAATTATTTTCACTGATTTATTTAAATTACTGCATGGAAATCTTGATCCCGCCCTTAACAACGTCTCTCGCACCGGATCTGATATTTTTATAATTCTCCCAAGCATAATCGTATCTTTTTAAACTTTTAACGATTTCTTTCCTTTCATTCGACCCAACGACGCAATATCTGATGTAAATTTTACACCCAGCTTGCAATGCATTTTCTATCTGTGCGCTTTGAGATCCAAGCAGACGTTTTTCCCAGTGAACGGTTTCAAAACAACGACCGGAGAACTTGCTGAACACGGGGTATTTTTTGCTCTTCGCTCCTCCGTGTTGTACGGAGACTTCAAACAGACAGTAAGAGGGAAGCATGAGCTTCGTTGTTGGTAGTGTCTTTAACGTGTATCCTGGTTTACTGTCTCTTCTCTGCCAAAGGGTTTTATTGATGTTTGGCTCGTCGCTATTCAAGGCCAAAAACCAAGGCCTCCAGTTCAAGGTTCGGAGGTTAAAGTTGATTTCTGGAACATTTTCGCGTTTTAGTAGAGGGAGGTTTTTTAATTTGTATTTGTTTAGCAGGGAATTGATTGACTTTTTCTTGCTGAACAGAGTCTTTGGTTCAGCTGGCATGGTAGTTTTGGAAACAATGTCGACGGTCTTAGTTTTAGCTCTTATTTTCTTGTCAGGTTTCAAACTTTTCGCCTTCTTCATTTTTGGTAGCAGACCAGCAGATGTTGGCGTGAGGCGAGCACGTTTCTTTGGTGTTGGACTTGTGACGCTCAAGGTCGGAGTAGCATTGACCTCGTCACGTAGAGAAGCAAAAATGGCGTCAATGTCCATGGCAAGTTTACCATCGCCATATCGGGCTCGCACTTCTTTTTCGTAGTTCACCAACATGGCCGTGTCGTGGCTCTCTCTGTAACACACGGCCATCAGGGTGTCGAAGATACTCCCAAAGTCATCGAGACGAAGGTGTTTACCGTTTGTGGCGATAGAGATCGTCTTGTAGAAAGCCTCCGTGTTGTACTGACCGCACTGGACGCCGTAAATCGTCACGTCATTGACTGCCAGATTTTTGGTCTCGTCTCGCCAGTTGACCTTGTCTTTGTTGCAATCCTCGTTTGGCTCGTGCGGGTTGTCGTCTCCAATCAAGACGAGGACACGCCTTGAGCCTGGCGTCCACGACAGCTCTGTCCTCACTTGCTTCAGTACTAGCTCGTAGCACTCAGGGGCGTCACCCCCTTCCGTCTGCTCAGCATTCTTTACGAATTTACAAAGTTGGGCCACGTCTGTAGTGAAGTCGATCCACTTGGTGACGTAAGTGTCAACGTCACAGTAGTCCCCGTGGGCGAACACGGCCATTCTGATACCGGGGATATCGGCCTGCAGACGTTGTATCATATCCTGGATCCTGCCACGGACCTGCTCTAGCCATGTGTACATAGAGCCTGTGGTGTCGAAGGAAAACACAACTTCTAGACACCCACATGAAGGGACTGGAGCATTTACTGCTGGCATTGTTGTTTTATGTGGGCTAGATGTATTCGATTCAACTAAGCGCGGAAATAAAATTATTTAGTCTTTAAAAGCAGTTAATTTTTTTTATATCGCTAGAAGGTTTGTATCTATCCGTAGTACGAATGATGAAGGCTTATATAGTAAAACCAGACTGCTTCGCGGGATATGACCGTTCCGCGAAGCCAAGAAAATCAATACTATTTTTGGCTTTGCCAGCAGCGTAATCCGCGAAGCAATTGTGCAAGGTATTCAGGATTGCATGAATACAAAATGAATACAGAATGAATAAAAATAACAGGGTTATTTTTAATTGACTAAATATTATAACATTGAATTGTTTTGTATGTTTTTAAATATTAGAAATTCGGCCGTTAAATTAGTCTCTTGAAAACAGGCTTTTTATAAAATGTTACACGTGGATCTAATTTAATTATATAGGGCTTTAATGCTTGTTGATTGCATTTAAATCAGAGGCAGTGGCTTAGTGGGGGGGGGGGGGGGGGGGGGGGGGGGAGGGGGGGTTGCGGACCGCACCGGGTGACACCATTT